GTCTGTGGCACAACAGCACCCCCGCCGCCAGACAATGCATCCGGAGTTTTGAGCCGTCAGCGCGGCTCGGAAGGAGGGATGCTGGTTGACCATCGGTAGCCGTTCCGCTCTCTCCGCCCGTTGAGACTTCCATAGGCCTGCAGAGGTTCACTGGAACGACGGAGTCGGACACAAAGGCGAACCACTCCGGCCAAAGCAAGCACCCTCCAAATGCTGATCAAATCGCCAGACCAGCAGAAACGAAAATATTTCCTCGAGATTTAACTGAGCTAAAAAAATAGCATCACGAGCAATGTATCTGAGGAGCAATACATAATGTGGACACTCCTTTATAGTGCATGACACTGCTAAACCTAACAGATTTTCTTTTTTCGTGAGCGATTCTCGATTGTGACCCGGGCAGATTAGGGACGATCGAAGCTGCTGAGTTTAAATCAATTTGGCCCCGAAACTACAATTTAGAATACCAAGCAATTATGAATCACGCACATTGGCGTCGCTTGCAAGCGTCAGACTGTTAAACATAACAAAGTTCGTCATCCTACAAGTTCTCACTGCAATGAGCTCCGCCAATGGTCATCAAAACAAGAGAATGCACGCTTGAAAAGGTAAGAAAGTAACACTAAAATTTAAACTTTTGCGCGTTACACAAAACAAAGTGAAAAGTTGACCTACATTTACGTACATACTAACACGTAATGCAAAACACAGAAGGTACTTTAAACAGGGGTTTTTACTTAGCCTTATCTGTTAAAATAAAACACACTAACTGTTACTTTTGAAATATTATGAAAACAAAATTAATCAAACAAACCTGAATATCTGCTTCTCCGATGACAAGGAAAGTAAAACTTACAAAAATTTAGACTCATTCCTTGCTCAACGGCTTACGACAAAAGTAGAAAAACAATTTCTAAAGCTAATTACAATGTCTATTCCTAGTAACGGCAAGACGGGGCCCCCCTTAGACGAACTCTGGAGAGTCGCGCATTCCACAGCTTATGAGGGTTGCGGTCTGGACAAAAGGACGACGAATCAACCCGTTCGCCGAACTTAGTAGCAGCGACTTTTGACCCACAGCCGCTGAACTCGAAGAAAGGGGCATCTGCACTGCATCGTTTACGCCGCCCGTTCGACCAGTGACCCTTTCGCCACGGTGGGGAACGACCGCTTGTGTTACAGCTCAAGCGCTCGCAACGTTTCCCCACTTGCTTGCATCTACAAGGCAGAGAAAAGGATGAGACCAGGCGGTGATTTCGGCGTTCCAATTTCCTTGAATTTTGGTCTTTGTTGACGTGCTTCCCGCCTAATCTCCATCTCAGTGATGGTCTGAGCTTCAAACATTTCCTGCAGGGCCCTTTCGCGATCCTACGCCTAGCCCTGAACCTGGCATATCGAATGAAGACGTCCCAGCACTTAACAGCTGCTTTAACATGTTTGATGCCTCTCGTCTCTTCCGCGCTACGCTTTTGCCGACGCTTTTTTCTCTTCGAATGGCTAGGAATGGTGGAAGCCCCGACACACTTACTCACAAGCGCACTGCCTTCGACAGGCTCTGCCAAAACTCTATGCGGCTGAACCAACTTATCTTTGTGGGGAGTCGAAGTTCCCAATTTGTTGGCTAGCGTTTCCTGGCGCCCGGTGCTAGCGGTCTCTGCCTGTGGCATAACGGGAGGCCCGATTAATTTAAGGCTAACAAAGGCGCTTACAGAGCTTTCAATCGGTGGGGGTCTATCGCTGTCGTGGATAGCCCTTTTTCTCTGGCCTTTGAAGTCGGCCTCATGCTCTCTTTTCCGAGCTTTACTCTGTAGCGCTTTATGTCGCGCATCCTGCTCAAGCTTTTGTCGACAGGCGTCAGCCTGTAGTGCCTTACGACTCGACTTGTCGTCAAGCTCTTTTTGATGCGATGCATCCGAATCATGTGTGCTGTGAAGCGGCTCCGTCTCTAGCGCTTCGCGATGCGCCTCGGCGTCCTTAGTCGTACGATGGGCCTCGGCCCCAAACTCCTTGCGATGCACCTCGGCGTCTGGCTCTATCCGACGCACTTCGGCGTTTCGCTCTCTCTGGCACACTTCTGCGACTTGTGCTTCGCGACGGGCCTCAGCTTCCATAGCTTTTCGGCATGCCTTATCTTTACGCGCTTCTCGACGCGCTTCTACTGCTAGCGCTCTTCGTGGCGCTTCAACCTTGTCTTCATCGCTCCGACTTTCCTCGTCAGCATGACTTGAAAGAAAAAAATATCTTATCAAGGCATATCTAACATAACTGAAGTCTCTTGCTTCCTCGAAGGGTAAGCAATTCAAAACATGCGCTATCTTGCGCGGCAACAGCGTGGCGAGCTTCTCCCCCAAAGGTCGCGGCTAACACCAACATTACAGCAGACAACTTCAAACTCATCAAGAAAATGGGCGATGTTCTCGCCTGCCTGAAAGTTGTGGAGCTGGTGTTTAGCTCGCTCCCATTTAAGGGCTTGAATTTTAAGGTCAAGCTCTCTCATTTTGAGAGCATGCTCTTTCCTTTTGCGACACTCCTCGGCCTTCCGCTTTTGCTCACAAACGAGCTCCCAAAACTCGTCAGCCTCCTCGGCCGTCACATTCTCTGCCCGCATCACCTCGAGAATCGCTTCCCTTGTTTTAGCGGACCCGGCGGAAATCCCCATGGCCCCACAAATTTCATGGAGGTCCTGCACCAGGTACTGCTCCATCGCGATCTCGTCCCTCGTGATGCTCTACCACTGATATTCACCGTACTCTAAAACTAATCTCGTGGTTTAAAGTAGGTGAATATTTAAATTACAACAAAAAACACAAAACGCTCTCCTAACATCTGCCTGTGCTAGAGAGGTCTGGCGAAATGAACAGTAAACGTTGGGCACTCACCCAACCAAAGTAGCCGACGATGGTCCAACTCCTGGCTGCCTTCGAACAGTGCCGTGGGTGTCGTCAGGCCTGCAGGGATCCGGTCCAACTTGCCAATGTTGAGATCCGGGGTTGCTTGTCCCAGCTTGCCGAACGATGAGAACAGCGGTAGCGTGCCGTAGCGTAGCCAAACGCTATCACGGCGGTCGTCCTCATGCTCGGAGATCCGATCCAACTTTTCAGCCGTTGAGATCGGGGTAGCGGGTCCCAGAGCAGCAAAACGTTGAGGACAGGGGTCTGATCCGGCGTGCCAAACGTAGGATATCGTATCCCGAAGCTGCCAACCACTGTTATGAATTTTCTCTGTCGCGATGGTAGCGGTGGCGAAGAGCGGCGTGCCGTCGAGCGGACTTCGATGAAGCCTTAGCCCGAAGGTGAAACAGGGAGGCAATCCGTTTGGAAAACAGCAACAAAAGGAGCGTTTACTGTAGCAGGTTGTCGTTTTACAGAGCCGGCCAGCACGACAACGTCGGCTGGGGCAAAAAATCTCTTAACATGGGGCCGGCTCGGCCTTAAATAGCGTCCTTGGTCCATTCTCTCGGACCAGTTCTCGGGCTCGGAGGGGGAGATGTAGCCATACCCGGAACTGCAAAGTGGCCCGGCGGAGGAAACGACGTTATCCCCGGACTGCACGGTTCTCCTGCACAGAAGGCGGCGCTGGGAGGGGGGGGGGGGGAGACAGTTCGTCGAAACAGGGCTCGATCTCGTGAGACGTGCTGCCGAGCGAGGAACATGTCTGTGGCACAACACTACTAAGAAATAAATACGTCTTTCTAATGTATCTTGAAACAGCATTACATATGCTCAGAAATATTTCAGAAGTACTATTGTGATACTCTCACACCTCGTGATATTACTTAGCTCTCACTGAAAATAATGCTTCTGGCCAACATTGGGAGATTAACTGGTGATTAGCAAGTTCTGCGTCGTTTCTTCATGATGATCAGTCATTCGCTTCCTAGAGCTGATAAATCCCCAATACTCATCCCCGCGTGTTCAACGCACCTAAGTAGATGTGCTGCATATTCTAATCATGGCATTTCAATGGGACTTCAAAGCCGCGACGCAACTATATATTATTAAATACTACTTTTCGTATAATCGCACTCGTGCAATATCACTTGATGCGATGGGTAGCGACGAAAGATCAACCCCGGAAACATATTTACATTAGTCGATAATGCAAACTAGGGTGTTAAGAAAAGCATAAAATATAAGTAGTGCGAAAACTAGAAACTCAGCTAATAGGAGGGAATGAACTGATATTTCAACTAACACATAGTCAACATCATTTTTTTACTATCAAATGAAGATTAAAATGCAGTTGCATTGCTTAAACGAATCATGGCCGGATGAATGACCAAAAAAGTCTTTTTTTTTTCGCATTCTTACAGGAGGCGCTGAAGTAAAGCAAATGCTAGGACAGGTTCAGTTAATTTTGTACAGCACTGCGAAAAAAAAGAATAAAAGATAGAATGTCAGTTTTGCAAATTTTCAGGTGCATTGTGTAAATTTAATGAGCATTAACGCACCCTAATAATAAAGTAAAAAATTAAAGAACGAATGCAAGAATATTGTCAGCAGTGTATTGTTCAACAGTGGTCCGGACGTTATCCGCACATCAGTTTTTCATACGCATAGCGAATTCATTGATTATAGACATCTTTCAAGCAGTTATGACGAAGTGCTCTGGGACGTAATGCGCTGGCATGACATCAATGGTAACGTCGAATAAAGAGTAATTACACATGTCACACGTCAATTCTGAGATAAGCATGATAAGATTACCAATGTTTTTTTTTTATTTGTGTCTGCCTGTTTATTACCATATGTCGTTGAATCACAATAAAATACTTGTATTAGTGACGGTTGGACTGCTACAGCAGTTTACGAACAAAGAGGCTGGAACAAAGTGCTGCATTTGCATTCATTGTTTGTTGTATACGTTGCCGCGTCCAGCAACGGTCACTATGTCTAAGGCATAAGTCCTAGTTCTGTTATATCAAGGCAGTTTCTCTTTAGAAGAACGAATTAGTTCTACGAGCTCAAGATATTTCTTGAAGCAACCACAAGTGTACTCACAATGTCGACAGCCACCGGTAGAAGAACAGAGACAGCTGACGTGTTGCTGACCAACTCGGTGAGCAGGGAGGAGCAGAGGGCCAGGGCGCACTGCATCAACAGCGGACTCCACGCGTGCCGTTGGAGTTGCGTCGACAGCCACTGGGCGAAGCCACTCACCTGGCGCACAACGTGCAACTTCAGTTAACCCAGCTGGACACATACGGGAATTGGTCTCTTACTGAGAAAAAACTTCGGCGTAATGCTCTAGCATACCTTAAGCTCAAATCTCTTTTAACTTTAAGACGACAAAGTGAGCTATAAATGAATGGATGATAGTTGTAACTGTTGGGCTTTTATGTCCCAAAATAACGACATGGTTATGAGGAACACCGTAATGAAGGAATACAGAAATTTGAACCATCTCTTCCCAAGAAACACGAAACGTCATACAAACTTCTCGAAACGCCTAGAAAGGCATGCGTACATCTAGGTATAATATTTGACGTTGAATAAACGTTTTTCAAAAGAAGTTTTTTTAGAAGACGTTGACAAAACGTTCTTTACAAGAAGTCTTTTTCAAAACGTTTACTAAAAGTTATTTTCAAGAACTTTGGTAGAATTCGCGGATGAGGTTTCGGGGGTGTTTTCTACGTTCCTTCCTTTTTTTTAATCCCGTGACAATGTTATTCGCTTTAAATGTTTATGTAGTATACATTTTTCATAACTTTACATGTTTAAATGTAATCATTGAGCTCTCTAGTCAACATTAAGAAATTAAGATGTGCAAATGTGGTGTGCGCCTACGCGGCTAGAACTATTTTACTTGTCTGGACGTGTTTACCGGCCCCTCAGTCACCTCTCGAAGAAGCGGGTTTGAGTCGATTTCCCTCGCGTTTTAAAAGTGTTCTTGTGCTTTGTGTTCGTGTTTTGTGTTATGCCAGTGCTGCTGATTACGAAGATGCGCTATACTCAAGCGAAGACGTGTGGGTTCGTATCGTGGAGCACTCGCCAGGTTGCTGCTGTCGGCGCTTTGTTATCACTCACCACGTTTTTCCTACCATGTGCACGATAAGTGAGCTTTTGTTTACATGGGGACCCAGCTTTTCTGTAGTACTTGTGTGAAGGCAAAGTTTTGCGAAGTTAAGCGCGGACAAGTTTGTGTGTGTGTGTGTGTGTGTGTGTGCGTGTGCGTGTGCGTGTGCGCGTGTGTGTGTGTGTGTGTGTGTGTGTGTGTGTGTGTGTGTGTGTGTGTGTGTGTGTGTGTGTGTGTGTCTGTGTGTGTGTGTGTGAAGCATGCACGCGCAGCGGGATTTCGGCGGGAAATTCGAGCAGAGTTCTGGCGGCTGTCCGCCTCTGTTGGCAGTGGTGTTGAAGGGGGGCCCTGCTCGCGAGCGACCACTATATTTGTTTATTAATTCTGGGGCGTTTGTTAGCTGTATGCGTTGATGCCTGTTAACATTGTGTGCTATTGAAGTGAACGTGTCTAAGGCAGTTTCATCTGCTGTACGTTCCACTTTAAACAGCTACAGTATTTATACGTTATGACTACTATCAAAGAAGTTTTGGCAAGGTTCTGTTTGGCGTCTCTCAATTTTTGTTTGGCGTCTCTCAATGCCGGTGTGTGCATCCGCGCTGGCACGCGTCTTTACAAACTACCGTGATACTCGAGTTGATGCGTGTTCGTGTTCAGCGTGTTGCTTCGTCTTAGGTAGGGCTTGCAAAGGTTGCACCTACACTTAAATGTTCATGCAGCTCGCTAACAAAAATTCTAACTTTCGGTATACACCGGCAACATAGGTTGCCTCATGCGGCCTGAATTTCTGCATTTTAAGTCATTCGTTTATCATAAACTGTATTTTAGAAGGAATATTTCATGGCTAAAATGTGGCCAAATTGCTTTACTTTACTGTGCGAGCACTAATTCAGTCATGAGCCTACGCGTTCGAGCACCATCGATTTTACTCTGCGTGTATTTCGATTTGGTTTAATAAATCTTTTATGCACATCACCCGACCTTGGTGTTCAAACTTTGCTAAACACTTTTACGTGTATGAGCATTAGGAATAGTTTACAGCACAACCTACAATGAAATTTTCTTATCAATGGCAAGCTTAACAGTATATTGGATAAAGTAAACTTTCTAGGCATGCGCTACAGATGTTGACAGAATCTGTGGTATGTGCAGAATCAATATTTTATTTATCACTCAAAACTCGCGATAATTTTATTAATCGAGGTAAGCATGCATATTTCATGCACGCATTGCTGTTAAAATGTAAATTTGGACACCGTATTTATTTGAGAATAATATAGACCGCAAGTTTTCAAGCTATTGACACTGAAGGAATCATACAAATTCGGAAATCAGTTTCATCAGATCTTATTGCTAAAATCGCGGTCAAAAGCTTCCAAGATTCTGGTTCCCGGAGATGTTGCAGAAGCTTGCATGCTTTATTGGGAGGGTGTGTGGTTCAAGATGGGTGCCTCATTTGTTTTTTTTTTTTTTTTTGCATTGACAGCCTGTGGTGCTTGAGTGAGAGGTACTGCCATTTTAGCCAACCAGAGTCATTGAAACTGATTACCATAATTTGTCAGCACACAATAGTATTTATTGACATCAATTTATGACATTATACGTATAATTGTCCCAGTTCGAGTAGCCTGAAAAAAAGCTACATTAGCTGTACTTGAAATTCAAACTCATGTTCAATAATATAGGTTACCTGCAATGAATTTTTGATGAAAGCTTGCATACCATCATGTATGTGTTGAGGTATCTTTGAATTTGCTTTCAACGCACTAAGCACTTGCGCAATTCAAGCATGGTTTTGACACATCTGCAATGTGTAAATTACATTTTTTTCGTAAAACTGCAACGGTGTTTGCCAGAAACACCAAGAAAGTTTTGCTCTTAACATCCCTAATTTGTGTACATCCTGCTTGTTTTAAGACACATCGTTCCAAATCATAATAAATATACTGACAAATTCAGTTTTTCTTAGAGACGCATGTCACTAAATTGTTTTTTTTTTTGGTGTTTCCATCGCAGCCTATGCATACACCTCGTACGAAATGAGTGTGAAAGAATTCAGCACAAGCCTGTCATCAATGATGGCTCGTGGAAAAGTTGGCTACTGAATATACAACAGGTGCGCATGGCTTCTATTTCCTATGGAAAGGGAACTTCCCTGAGCCACCTTGTTGCTGTATTCAAGTAGCTCGCATGTTTAGGATGTTCAATATTAAGCCGTTTGTTTTTCTTTTAAAAAGTCAGTGCTGTAAGTTGTGTGTGTAAAAGCCACCTTTGCAGATAGCTAAGTGTTCAGGGGAACATAATGTACAACAATAATTAACACGGTAAGCTGTGCCATTGAATAAGATTCAATAATGAATCTATTAGTGACTGCAGCAGGCGGCTTCGCCCCGCCGCGGTGGTCTAGTGGCTAAGGTACTCGGCTGGTGACCCGCAGGTCGTGGGTTCGATTCCCGGCTGCGGCGGCTGCATTTCCGATGGAGGCGGAAATGTTGTAGGCCCGTGTACTCAAATTTGGGTGCACGTTAAAGAACCCCAGGTGGTCAAAATTTCCGGAGCCCTCCACTACGGCGTCTCTCATAATCAAATGGTGGTTTTGGGACGTTAAACCCCACAAATCAATCAATCAGCAGGCGGCCATGCATGTATTAAAAATTGGAGCCAGTCACATTTCTACATAGGTCCACAGAATTCTGGCGTGCCTGTGCTCAGATATCCCACTGGAAAGTAAAGTTGTGGCTTGTATCATTATGCATGCAGGACAGTGAGCACTAGCACACAGCTACTACTCCCTGAGGTGCCACATGTATTCTGATCATGGATCGAAGCCATAGACAAGCAATACAATGGTTGCCTTTTTACTACCGGCTGGAATAGCAAGCACTGACTGCTTGTCTCACCAGGGAGTAATGTATCTGTCATCCTCGCGGCCTTGCATACGTAACCATGAAAAGCACAATAAACTTCCGAATGGGATATCTCAGAGCATGGACGTGCTCGAAGAATTTTCCATGTGTGAGTGTGTAGAAACACGACTGCCACAAACTGTTTTATGCAAACATACCCACTTACTGTAGGCGCCAAAACTTCAGTATTTTAGTCGATTTGGCAGATGAAAGCATTATTGTCTTACTTTGCGTTCCCCTGGACACATAACTTATCTGCTAAGGCAGTTTTCTGTTCTTAGGGCTCAATTTTATCACAAGCACAAAGCACATTTCTGAATGTGTCAGTACTGCTTTCTAAGGTTTCATGTCATGTTTAATTTATGTGTAATCTGCAGTTAGTCACTTAAAATTGAGCTTTTTGCATTGCAATAAGGCTGTAGCAGATCAATGGTTTTATTTTCACCGTAATATTGACTTAATATTTTGTCTTATTGTTCTTGTAACCTTATGTCATCCTCTTCTCGAATTTAATGCCATAAGTGCAATCAAGTGATTTTCTATTGTGATACTTAATCATACCTAACTTTGCCAATACTTAACCATTTGTGATATATTAGTGACAACTAACCATGTTTAACATTGTTAATGAAGACTGACAGAAGGCATTTATGAACACTATAGCTTTTTTGACTTCACTGTGTCTTTTGTGCGAGTATTTTGGGATCGAATTAGAATTCAGGGTGTTGCTAAAATCACAATTTGATTGTTAAACACAGATTTGGGGTGAAACCCAATAATTTCGACTACTCATAATTTCAACATATCTAAATTCAGGCTCACTGGGTGAGAAAAAATCAATAGTTTGACTGCTGCTTTTTGGCTGTAACAAATTTTCTACCTTTATATATTCGCTACTGGGCCAATGTGTTTGCTAAGCTGGCCTTCTAAATTTTTTTGCACTGATAGAAGTCTGCTCGAAGAGAACAGTTTGCGCCTTTTGTATGTGTTCAGGTTCCTGGACCAAGCATCTGGCCAGCCCCTCAATTGCTTTGTATAATTATAGTTACTATAAAGCATGCAAGTTTGGGAAAAAGTGTCCAGTCATTGTTATGTTTAATAAAGGTTACAAGTATGCAACAAGATTTGTTTAAATTTTGCATTTACTTTTGGATGTGCAGCATAATGCATTCCAGGCAACAACAGAAACAACAATGAGTTGACGTTTAAAAGCCCGTCTTGTCTTCAAGCAAA